GTAGCTAAATAAGCTTAGGACATTCATGTAAATTACCTTGGGGCTATTTTATCAAAGCTATAGTATGGCTATAAATGCCCACATAGACATAATAAAATAAACACAGCGAGGTTGTGTAAATGGAGCTTAAGTCACAGAGAACGCCGCGTGGGCCTGCTCTCCTGATCTGTATCTTCGCTAAAGTATGGCAATAATCGCCCATATTATAGTCACAATATATAAACACTATGAGGTTATCTTTTTTAGATGTTTGTAATATGTGTTTTTACGCCCCCATGAACACAGTTTAGATTATTTAACTTTTAGGAGACGGGATTCGACTCTGCTTGTCAGCATCAACCAACGATAAAAAGGATAGAACGTCCCAGCAGAAAGACCGAGGTATGCCTTACAAATTCTCACCACCGTGGTATCGAACTAAAATTTTCTGTGTGGGATGGCGAGACACCTAATAGTTACACCATAGACGTTAGTGCGGTATCCTAGCTGTAGTATGACTCCACTTGCCCATATAGACATATTATGATAAAAGTAATTTAAATTACTGACAGACATACATGCTGATGAAGGCAGACAAACAGACAGAAAGACTGGTGAAGGAAATATAAATGACAGACAAGCAGTCATATAGATTGCTTACGTGCACAATAGTGACAGGTTTGCCGTGTGGAGAGCAGGAAAGAAGGTCATGTTAAATGGCACGTAGCAGTCTTGAAACTGTTCCACACACTGGTGAGCTGTCATGCCGTTGTCTGGAAAAGAAAAGACATGTTCAAAATTTAGTATGTACACAAGAAAAGCCTGTTAAAGACGAGTTCCAACATCTTTATAAATAATGAAAAATAATGCTACGCTGAATAGAAATGTTTGAAACCTTGCAAGGCTTAGAATTATCATATTCAACTCGACTCTCTTAAAACTTCTGAACATGGAAACTACACCAATAGTAGCATAGTGAACCGCGACTTATTTTAACATCAAAAGACCCCAGAGACTAATTTTCGACTTCCTCTACTACTACCACTACTAAGTGCACAATGATCACACCTTATGAAAAAATCACATGTGTTTTGACAATGCAAGTGGATTCTACGTATATATTGTAAGCTAAACAAAATCATAATCATAACAAAATAATTCCTTCAGGGTGGCCGATCACTAACTCAGAATAACGAAGTTCTACCCGACATTTCTTGCTGTTTTGAGTTAGTAAGACCATGTGATCAGAAATTGAATACTCATTTATCTACTCTATCAAAATCGTAAGATAATTCGGATGAGTCGTTATCAATATATTCAAAAAATTGCATTAGAAAACGCTTGATATTTTGTGGAACTGAAAACTTTTTGAAGTCAAATTTCTCAAAACAAGATCTAGGTACTGAGCAGAT